TTTGTGGGCTCTCTCTTTATTTTAGAGATTATATTTATTTCGAAGAATTATAACATTAAATTTATTATTTGCTATTTAAGATTATAACCAAACAATACTGTAATAAATTGTAATAGAGTTTATAATTAATTTTATTTTTAGAGCAACCCTACAAATAAGATGAAACTAAAAAATGTGAAGATAAAATATCGAAAAACTTTCCTTCGCGTCCATTTCATCTAAGTCCACCAGACCTTAACCATAGTAATTGTCAAGACCGTCGAAGCAAATATTTTATTACACATTATTTAAAACAAACTTTGGATGTTGTGAGTTGATTAGATTTTACAAACAACGCTGCTTCCCCGATATGAATTTTGTTTTCTATTTGCTGGCTATCGATATCTCAAGGCTTTTTCTATTTTTAATCTATTCAGGGACTTTATCAACATATGTGACGAAGTCAATTCCATCCTTTCCTGTTTTGATAATTGACTTTCTCATTTGAAAATACTAATAATAAGTAAAAGAAAATATCACAATTAACAAACTAAAAGAAAGAAAATATTATAATATTCTAATAATATGAAAATATTAATATTCAGATGTCGTATCGGCAAGAATTTTAAAACAATAACTCAAGGCTTTTCAGATGTCTTCGTTACGGAAACGGTAACTTAAGGACACCAAGGGCAGCACTCTCCACAACCCAATCCGTAGCCGAAACAAATGAGCTCTCGCATCCTTCGAGCCTGATGGCGTAGATTGTAACGTTTACGATTCTTTAAGCTCATTTTACCGTAACGGGTGGCAGCAACACATTAGTCATAGACTTTTGTTTTAAGACCATTTCACTAGATCCAAGGTTTATTTAGACGAGTAAGTTCAACTTTATTAATTTAGCATCTCCTTCGGTCACCACTTACGGGTGTCCCCCTGGGTCTCACTGCGGTCTGGCGGCCTAATGAGGACGCGGGGACTGCGCACGCGTCGCGCCACGCGGCCCTGTTCATTACCAACCTCTTTGCCAACTTTATTATTTTTAGTCACGTGTCTATTATCGTGGTTTTTATTATATATACATTTTTTTTTTCACGATAAACTACTTTCCGGGCGTGTAATCGGATCCAGTAGAGCAAATAGGGCGCGGATTAGTGAAGCTTTCGCATAATAGCCGATCGTGAATGATATGTGATTCAATCAACATAAACAAGCTATTTTGCGGGGCAAAAAGGTTAACGGCGGAAGCAAAAAGTCGGGTAGCTTTCGTTTATTATAAATTTATTTACATGTATCCAGTTCAGTCTTTTAAGTTAAGGTTTACGTTTACCTTGAGGAACTTTATTAATATCTACTTTTCTATAGGATTTGTAGGTGTGGATGAACTTAAATGAACGAACTCCCCGAGGCAGAAATATCTACTAATAAGATTGTACACCACTTCCTTTGTTGGCTACGTTCCTTTAAAATTAAATACTCCCATAGGCTTTGTGGGTAACATCATAAATTCTTCGATACGTCATAAAAATATCGAATGTTTCAAAAAATATTTTTGTCTAATAACACAAACAAACCAATATCCAAATAAGTTATCGTATTATTGAAATGTACATACAAACTGTGAACTTTATTCAAGGCGACGGATACCGTAGCTGTGCGCGGCTGGGGACCGCGAATATTATCACACGTGAACTCGGAAAAACAAGGCATCGACACCAGGGTCTCCTTTCAGACAGGGCACGTCTCCCAGTAGGGCGCCCTTTGACGGATGCGATTTCGCCATCCCTCCGGAAGGCACACGCTTATTAGAAAGGGCTGTCGGCTTTGCCGCATTCACCCGAGCCCAGAGAACGTGCGTTGGTGCATTTTATACGCCTGAAATCAAGTAGGATTTGTAAGGGCGCGTGGCGTGCACGTGCCCATCTAGAGCGTCCGTTCTACGAGTACACGCGGGTATTTGTTTTTACGTCATTTAACGTGTTTATTCGGGCAAGTTTTTAGCCTTTGAATGTGCACCTATGGGATTTGTGATTTTTTTGAAATTCGTTGATGCATAATTTAATACCCGATGCAAAATGGTCTTAGGTTTGTGTTTCGGTTAGTACATTAAGGCCGGGTTCACATCGAAAGATAATCGTTTGTGATTTATGAGAAAGATTTTAACCCTAGCTATTTCTAGTTATGTTATTTATGTTCCATATAATATATACCTACTGTACTGTATGTTCCCCAGAAGTATAATAATTTGTTCTTTCATTTTTTGATCTCGAATGATCGAAATCTCTGAATTACTTTCCTGTGTCTATTAAGTCATTCACCTATTATTTTAATCCGCATTGCATATGCACATTACGGCCACCTGGCGTTGCATTTGATTCGCATCAAATTAGATTAATCACTGCTCAATGAACTGCGTCATAGGGGCTGTATTGTGTTTAACGAAGACACAGGTGTGGCTGAAATATTAGGGAATTGTAACATAACAACATAGCTTTCTCCTGCGACTTTGTTCGTTACATATATTCGACGCTGCCATGTAGTGTATTTTTTAGAAGTACAACCTTTTACAGTTATTTTAAAGAATGCTGTGAAAACAAAACTACTAAAAAATCACACAAAGTTTTTTTATGGAACTCTTTACGAGTAAAAAATCCTTTCTTACTTAGAGACTCGTAAGAGTTCGCAATTCAAGTTTATAAATTACCTCAAATTAAATTTTTTGAGATTCATGTGCTGAAGGCTGTAACAAAAAGTTTATATCCATTCAAACATACAAATCTCATTCAAACAAACAAAAAATAAAAAAAAGTGAAAATAATAAGAAGGATACTAAATAGATATGAAAAGTAATGTTAAAATGTACACAAATGTTTATTTTTATATATGCGTAAATGGATCCTAGGCGTCGCTTTACTTTTTATGTTCCGAATAAACAAAAAAATCTTGTTCAGTCACTATTTAAATTTTTCTAAAAATAATGAAACTGAGAGGGAATGTTAGCAAATTCTTATTATCTAAATGGTTTCCGAAAGCAATTTCGAGTAATGAACTACATTTTTTTTTTCGCGAAAAGTAATATGACGAGCAGTGCTTCTCTTTTTTGCCTTTGCGTCACAAAATTATGTGTCCCTATCGACCATGAAAGTACTAAACAAATAATCATAATAATGAAAGTAATAAATGTAATAGTCAAAAACAAATATTCAGATATAATTATGTATATAAATAACTAAGGGTAAAGTTAATAGGATCAAGTATTGGCAAGGTTAGCAATGGGGTTTTTAATGATGAGCACGTAAGTAGGTGATGAAACAAAACATCCTACTTTGTGAGCAGGAGCACCCATCTTGTATCATAATAAAATTTTTCTCTTGAGTATTTTATCTACTATATATATACATTATTACATTATATTATATATTTATACGTTATTATTAACGTATATATTTATATATGATGTTTGCATGTGTATTTATGTATAATTTATTAATATGTATTTATATTTTATCTTATTAGTTTCTGTTATCAATTCAATGTACACCTATCTACCCGATGCTACTGTTTTTAAACGGTTTTATTTAGCTCGACCCGTACGGAATTTGTTTATTTATTTGGGTCAAAATTAGAAATTGAAATTTAAGCACCTTCCCGTTGTCAGATTGATCTGAAATTTGGTCCACACATTTAATTTAGATGACAATACAATATTGTAGTTTTCAGTGCACATAAAATGAAACCGTTTAACTTAAAAGTTTTTAAACGGTTTTATTACGATCTCCTTTTACTAGGTTGCCTGAAAGAAATCGCTTTTTAGCGATAAGGCCGCCTATTGTACAGTTTTGTATTATTTTTGTTGATTATTCAATATCCGTTGTTTGTGTACAATAAAGTATATTTCATTCATTCATTGTAGAAGCGGGTCTTCAAGAGGATACAGGAGTAGGAAATATTAATGATTACGAATTATTAGTTATGTAATTCACGTGGCATGAGTATGTACCTAACGTTCTACCTAATTAAAGTTATTTTGAAGTTGGCCTTGATAATAAACGTCTGAATGATACATAATAGGCCGTATGAAGGAAACGTTATTACGGTTCGGAAAGGCAGAATATTCTAAAGACTTCTATATTTTCAATGGTTTTAACACAAAATCTTTAACATACATCAGATGAAACTGGTTCCAAATTTTACACACATGTTGTGAGTATTGACACTACGATTGACTGGTAGAGAATATTTAATGGTGTAAAGTCCGACATTGTACGCTAGTGTGCAAAAAGCTATTAAATAAATAAAAGAAACGATTGTTCAATACACAAAACTTGGTCACTGAAACGTTTACTTGCTTATCGGAAGATACTATTTTTTACCAGTTATATATTTTTATTTACTCTCTAAATACATATAATACAGAGGTATTATGAAAGATTAAATAAACTCTTTCTCTTATTGGAGCAAATGTGTGAACTTATAAGTTTCTATTTGACACGATAATATTATAAATCACGATTATATTACATCAGATATTCCAATTGGCTGTAGTAGTGCCTCTTATAGGTGGCTGAAGAAAAGTATCAGCCTATACATGTCCCATGGCTGGGCGAAGGCCTCCTCTATACAAAGGGTATCAGGGCATAGTCCACCACGCGGCCCCACTGCCTTTGGCGGACTTCATATTTCTTAGATTTTTTTTTTATTATTATTATTTCAAAAATATGCAGGTTTCCTCACGATGTTTTCCTTCACCGCGAGGCACGTGATAAGTCAGCACTTAAAGCTAAAAACTTCATTGGTGGCGGCAACGGGGATCGAACTCAGGTTGCTCGAGTATAATTAATTAAAGGCGAGCGCCCGGACACTGAGCAATCACGGCTCTATAACATTTGCATAGTGTAAATAACTGGATTATATTAATAAAAAAATTAGTATATGTAACCATACACAGGAACAAAACAAAATGCATTGCTCTGATAAAAGAAATATCGTAAAACTGCAGCCCTTTTCCCAGCAACCACTTATTCTTTCGAAACGCCGCGCGCCGATGTGAGGTACGTGAGTTTTGGCTTGTTTTTGACCTTAACAATGGGGCGCGAGAGGGCACTGGGGCTCGCCACGTGGCCTGCCATTAAAATTGGCGGGTTCGATGAAATTGCAACTTTATTTGTACTCTTACAAATCACTTTTCGGAGAAACTGCCCACGGGAACAGAAATTTGAGGTAATGCTGTCATGTGATTTTTTTTACAATTACGGTTCGTAGTGTTTTTATGCATGCACGGATTACCATAAGGAGTAACTTGCTAAGAAGCGTTCACCGAAGATTTATTTCACCATAACTGTTATGCTAATATTGTATAGTTTTTACGTATAAAAATAATAATCACAAACTGTTACATGACAATAATCCAGACATTTTTAATTGCGTTTTACTTGCTTCCGGTAGTGGCTTATTCTGTTATCTATATTGTTATTGGTAACAAAATAGAAGTACGACATGGAATAATGCGCTTTACACTAGCTTCGTTCATTATTTCTACCTTAAAACTATAATCCTATATAACACTCCTATGGGAACTTCAGCGTATGTGTTATGGTTAATTAATCCATAAACATGTCCAGGAAAGCATAAAACATTTTTATTAACACAGCCAGGGGTAAATATTATTTAATATAAAATTTCACAACAATATATAAGTTGCGTCCTTGAAATAAACCCATTTACAGCTAAATAAAAATTGTGAAGCAGTGATAAAAGGCTGAAGACAGATCACAAAAAACTAAAACTACATAGCTTTCGTGATCCCGAGTGATGATTACTAAAGAACTCTTAATAAGATAATGAGTGTAATTTTAAATCTCTAATTGTCAGCATAAAGCTTTTTTTAGCCTATACAAATTTTTTGAGAAGAATCCCGAGTATTTAAAGAAAACATTTTAACATGTTTGTTAAGTCACACAGCCACTAACTTGAAAATGACATTAAATCGATGTACTATTTAAAAATAATAATAAATTTATTAATGTTTAATGTAAGTGACGTAACGATCCCTTTTTGTTACTTTCATTAAATTAATTTAAGTATTACTTGAATAAAGACTTCATTAAAGAGCCTTGATAGCTCAGTGTCGGGGCGCTCGGCTAATTTAATATACTCCAGCAACCTGATTTCAATTCCCGGTGCCAGCACCAATTCTATTGTCAATTTTAAGTCCTGAATTATCACGTCCTCAGCGGTGAAGGAAAACATCGTGAGGAACCTGCATATTTTCGAAATTATAAGAAAAAAAATTATTTCGAAGATTTGTGAAGTCCGCCATTCCGCAGTGGGGCCGCGTGGTCGACTACGCCCTGATACTCTCTGTACTGAGGAAGCCTTTGCCCAGCCATGGGACATGTATAGGTTTTACTTTACTTTACTACTAAAGACTTCATATTTATTATAAGATTAATTTCTGTTATATTTCGCTGAATCTTTATGTGCAGTCTATGTTTAGAAATAGGAATAAAAAATAGATTATAAAATGTTTTGTTAAACATTAGAAGCTAAAGATAAATATTGTGATTGGAGGTTGCCGATTTGTTATTTTCAGATTGCTTATGGGCCATAAAAATATTCAAAAGAGTAGGGCAAATTTAAATAACTAGGTGGAAATTGACTAGCTAGACGTGGGACACTCAAAAAGTTTTGAAAAACTAAAAACTAACTTATATAGATAAAATATTTACATGAAATCTTTTCACAGAATTCTCTCCACCAGCCTTTCATGCTTTTGAACCAATCCCCGAAGAACTTTTTCCAGTCCACCGCAGACACCTTTTCTACGGCCATTCCGTGTTAATGTAACTTTGGTTGATCTAATTGATACCAGATATACAAAGTTAAGAAGCTAGCGATCAAAATGTTTCATGCGCTTCTCGATCATTTCACTTTTGTAAGCGTTGGTTAGTTTTGAAACAGCCAAAGTGTCGACTGACGTTTTGTTTCTAGATTGTATTGATAAATCCAGGATTCGTCACCTATTCATCACCAATGTCGTAAACGCGCCGAGACGACCTTGCTTCAAATTTACTAATCATATCACGGCCTGCTTCTGAGCTTAGATAAGGTCCTCACGAGAAGGTACTCTGGTATAATCTTGTGAACGCTTCCCGAACTAATCTGCAATGTATACTGAATATTTTTGTATGTAATTCACATGTTTTATTGAATTAAAGGTTTCACTATCAGCACACTTTCTTCGGTAATAGCCATCGAAGGACAACCACATCTTTGTTCATCCCTCAGAGTTAGACGATCGCTTTTGAATTCTTTATTAAAACGGTAGATAGTTGATTTTGAAAGTTCTTCATCCATAAATGAAGTCGATCAAACGACTCATTCGGTTTCAGCCACATTTGAAAAATATTATCGCACAAATATGTTCCCGATGCAGATCCATTTTTACATGGGACACGATAATTCATTTTAGTTTTCAAAAAATGTGAAAGGGATATTTTAAATTCCAACAATGTTTTTCATTGTTGGAAAATAATTAAACTTAAAAATAATTATAAACAGCCAGGGTCTCCTTACATAATACCGTTTTTTCGCAAAACTATCTGAGTGGCCAGGTTGTTAGAGTTTAAACCTTGAATTTTTGAATTCAACGATAGCGAGATATTCTCAATCAGATTTGGTAGTATAAACTTAAACTGCTATATACCTGAAGATTTTATATAGGAAATACAAAAGTATTTGCTAAAATTTAGTTTTGCTCATATCATATATCCAACATTTATATCATATATCCAATATTTGTAAATACAACGTGTGATACGTTGCAACACCTTTTATAAATTTACTGATTTATTATAACTATTAAGTAAACATTAAGCCGTCTTCAAAATTTAATTTTTATGCACTTAATCTATAGGTTTCTTGCGAAATTACTAGTTCACCATTCAATTAATATGTTACTCAATTGTAAAAGTTGAAATCATCTTTAAAGATCAGGGATTTATCACAAGACAGTTATTAAGCCCCAAAAGGTCTAGATTTTTTATCCCCTGTTGAAAATACTTTGTAATTTAAATAAGGTTTTATTAGAATTTTGGTTGAAGTATGTTCAGATAACATTTAAATATATAAATGGGGTGGAAAAAAAATCAAAATCATTTCCTCACTCATTCATATCGAAACATGCCTGCACCAGAGCAAAGAAAAACAGAGGAATAAAAAAAGTACGGGCCACGTCATATGGAAGTGACAAAAACCCGTGTACGAGTTGACAGGGCTGACAATGTCACCGCACCGATCTCGGCGGCGCACGATCAATTATGTTTGATTCATTGAATACACCTGACAGAAGGTATCGACGTCACTCGCCGCCTCCCAAATATTGTGATTTAGATTTTATCTGCCCGGGGCTAAATTAATAAAAACCTAGCATCACGCGCCCATTCGACCACTTCTGAAGTTATTTTTGGTTCACAATATCATTTTAGTGTTGCCTAAGTCCACTTCAGCTGCCTAATATGACACAAAATCCGTGAAATTCATGCTAATGTAAATCAATTTTAAAGGCTTTAATTTAGGATTAGTAGAATTAATCATGATGAGAATTAATATTTATATAATTAATATTTATATGAATAGATCATTAGGAGAATTAATTATAGTGTAGAATTAGAAAAATACTGTGTTTTGTCAGTTACAGTCACAATAAACTTTCATCGAATCTGCAAATCCCGGAAAGCCGGCGAAGTGAAAGTCTCACTTTCGGTGTTTAAATTTTAAACAGAAACGCATTAAAATATGGATGTTACAAAGAGTAGTAGATAAAAGGCAGCTTCAGGTATACACGAAATATAATATTACATAAAGTCATATAATTATATTCTATTGATTTCTTGTTTTACGAGAATATTATGTCATACAAAAAAAAACATTAAATTTATTTCGAATTAGTTTGATTTCATTAAAATATAAACATTTTGCCTACAAATCGCCCTCCTGTAAAATTACTATAATGTCAGTTCACTCAATTATAATTAGGAGGTATCGATACAATGTGCATAAACACATAATTAAAGCTCTAATTCTAATAGAGCGGAGGATATATTTCGGCAGCTCAATGTAATATAATTTTTTTTTAACGAGAGCTATACCTACTAAGATTCTGTCCTTTAAAACGAAAATACCGCAGAGAGCATTCCGTTAATACAGTTTTTGCCGCCAGTCTCGGCCCATTTGCCCCCGGATGCGGTAACACTAGACGGGGGCACGACCTATTTTTGTGCTGTTTTTGCTGGCGCCCCCGTTATGCACCAATGCTAACACCACGCCACGAGAATGTCTTAACTGTGAACTCTCCAAAAGTTACGGTGAATTAACTATTTATTGTCTTTTATCTGATAGTTGCAGTCAGCCCTTAATAATTTTTTTTACCCCCTAAAAACCATAAACATATATTGTGCCATGAGAGGCACTTATGAACTAATGAACTTGTATGTTTGTGCGGAAATTTTTGAGAAATCGCAATTTCCTTCATGGAAATTAATTAATCGACTAAAAGATATCATGACATTTTCATTAACATTTTTGTATTGCGTTTGCCTTGCCTACGTTATACAATTTAATCTTACTTACCCATCGATGCCCAATATGACTGTGATGGCATTAATGTCATCACATATTGGGCATCGAAGAGTAAGACGACCCCTCACTAGATTTAGTGACCTGTGCAAATATGCGGGTAGTCGAAAACAGGCAGAAATTATATTGATGTCGATGATGGGATCACGGGATAGTACATTTTTAAAGTTAATTATGCTCTTTACTACTTTTTCTCGTTATTTACGGTCTGCTTAATGGGTATCACTATTTCTTGTTCATTATGCGATTAACATCTTATTTCAATAATTATACTATTATCTATATCAACAAATATCACAATCATCACGTGTTGCAATTTATCGAATTGGTCAGTGTCGAAAACAGTCAATGGATTGAAAATTTAACAATTTTTTCTTTTCTTTTCTTTAAGTTATTTTTATAACCTTTATAAATTTGTTGTGCTCCTTTATTTATCGTGGATGTTTTCATAATTGCTTTTGTATCGTTTTATTACTGCCGCCAAAGTGACCTCTAACGTTTGTTTATATTAAAATGCACACTACGTCGCGTATTGGCATAATTTATGACTATTCAAGCAAAAAGGACTGAAATAAATGCCATAACTCTGGCTCGCACGCCATTGACCTATCATAAATTCGTGCCAGTTTTTATCATTGTATATAAACACCTTTTTCGACAGAAAATATAACGGCATTTTCCCTTAGATACTAAATTTGGTGAGAGGTTATGTTGCGCATGTACGTATGTAATCCATGTCAACTCATCAGACAATCGCTTCCAAATTTTTAAATAGGAACTGTGGGGCATAACTCCTTTCAAACTCTCCAAATTGCTTCCGAGAATTGTATATACCAAAACAAAAGCCAGAATCCAAAAGCAGTCGTCCCGTTATGTGACTTTATATCGCCATCCTTTTCGATTACGTAATATCAATATATGGTATCGTCCCTCTTACACTTCAATGGTAACTACCGGATTTCAGGCACGCAAGAGCGTGGGACCAGTTTTTGTGCACCAACCACAACAAAGACATGCCACCAGAGTCCGAATCCGCAAAGATGGGAGCTGAGACATACAAGAATAAATAAATATGGCGGCATATAACAGCGATGCACAATAGCCTTACGTAAGATTCTAAAGTAGCAAATTTTAACGAATAACAGAACACTTAAATGAAAGAAATATTGTTGCATCAGTATAAAATTATAACATTGACTTTATTTTCGCCTACAACACGTAATCACTTGTTCCTTCTTACTACTTTTGGACGTTGTTGTGTTAAACGTTGAAGACATGAAACAAAATAATAGCAAAAGACTTTTTTAAAGATCTTTTGATTTTTTACTACATAACAAATACTCTAATTTTTATAATATACACAACACTCATCACTTTACGTATCAAATACTCTGAGTACTTGTTACGTAAAGTGGAAGTGGTAATAATAAATACCGCGAGCAAATAGAAAAACAAGTTTTTAAGTAAATAGCAAAGTATAGTATCATTTACTTAAAAACTCGTTTTCAGCGCTGCCTATTATTTTAACGTATTTTATAAGAGAACGCGCGTGATCGGTCGTAATAAATTTTAGCAGCCTTACATCGGAAGTATCATGACATCTGCTGTTGTGATACTCTTAGCCTAAGGTCAGAGGAATTGGCATTTGTGTTTGCACATAACTACGTTCATGTATGTAGATTCATAATTTTGTAGTTTTTAGGTCACACTCGAACTCACATGTGATAAACTTAAATATAATTATTAAAATACTAACGATCTGATTCTCGTGTCCACCTTTAACACTTTGAGACCAATATATAGAAAGAATTCAGACTATTATGATAGCATGAATGATTTTTAGTTCTAGTTACAAATAAATAGTGCATTTAATTAAGTATTTGCGTTCGCGAAAAAGATTGTCGCTCATATTTGTAATACATTTTTTTTAAATTTGAATACAAGTCTGGTGTAGGAGCCAATACTGGCGCGCGAGCTAGCGAGAAAGACAAGAAATTTTCGAAATAACAACCCGACGGGACCACCCAACGCCCCAGCTGCGAGGCTCGCTTATTTATTGTTTTAATTAAAACAACATAACTCAGCCTCTCCTCCTGAACGCGCCTTTGTGACAGCTCGTAATTCTAAAGCTTGGCTTCTGAACGCAATCCTTAGATCAAATGATGCGTATGAGTTTTCTGGGGGTCTATTTCGTGAAGAGACTGTGAGGTAAGCACTACTTTTAAAATAAGTAAAATATTAGCGCTGATTTAAATATAGGCGAGTATAGTGAGGACTGGGTCACCCGAAGGTACGTATATGCACTAAATGGTCGTATAATCCTATATTAATTATTTTTGGTTACAATTTATCGTGAAAGTTAACCTTATTGTTTGCTTCCAAAAGGCTTGCTTGCTTATCATTTCTGTAATGATCCGTAAATAAATTAAATTATTCAGTGACTTTGAAAATGCAATAAAAAAAACGTTCAATTTTTTTATGTGAAAAGTTGCCAAACGAGCAGACGGTTCACCTGATGTTAAGTGAATACCGCCGCCCATGGACATCTGCTACCCAAAGGTTGGAGATATGTTGTCAACCTATTGAAAAATTGGGCTCCGGCCACCTCGCTCACCAGACGAAACGCGAAAGTATTATACTTCCACTTTACGTCGGTCTTCTATGAGGTTTTGGGACTTACCCGGACGAGCCTGCCCAGTCATGCAACAGCCGAGGCTGCTGCGTGGCCCTACCACCGTAAAAAGCTGGGTTTAAACAAATGAACATGGAAGAAATGGAAGCTTTCTATTTAAATTTCGATTTTTTACCTTAGTGAAAATTTGCGAATTACCTACTAACAACATTTCAAATTAAAGATCGTTTGAGTTGAATAAAAGCGTATTTTGCAGTTGGAAATATTTTTATTAACAGATTTTTATAATTTATTATAATCGCATGCATACAATAGCCAGGTAGAATGGTTGTTGCGGTTTTAACTCGAGAAATCTGGTTGCATCTTTTATAATATATTTTACACATCATTTTCCCCACTACTATGCTAATAAGTTACCTAGAGAATGAATAGGATATTTGATTATTAGCATTACCTATAGTAATATATTACTGTAAGTTATACAATATTAATGTATATTAGATTTTTATACAAAAAAAAGGAACTACCAGTGCGTGTACTTAACTGGAATAACATTATAATTTAATGCTTAAAACTACTTAAATGTGCGATATATCAAATTAATAATAAATTTCCCCAGCAGGAGTATCCACATGTTTACAAATTACTTAAACATTGAATTTCTAGAATTTCTTATACCTTTTAACATTAATATGCGTAATAATTATATCATGCTATGGAAAAGATTTTCGCATCTAACTACTCGTATATTTGCTTAAATTGATACTTACGCTACATTAAATAGTAATGTTCAATAAATAAATAGCAATATATTAATAAAAAAGTTTTTCTTCGTTGTGGTCTATCAAACTCTACTGGTGTTTCATAAAAACGTCAATGATTATACCGAAGTTTTATGCACATTTTTAATAACAGTAGAATTTGCTACATTTAGTATAGTAGTATCTACTAGCATTAACTTGTATTTTTTTTTTTCAGATCAATTTCAGTTCTCAATTATTTACATAACTACATAAGGAACATTCAATAATTATGGAATTTTTAATCTGGACATGATGTAATTTTATAAATGTAATATAGGTATAAATGATATGTAAGAGACACATGATTCATTTTGGCCAATAACACCTACCGGAGAGTAAAAAAAATAATAATCGCAATCAACAAAAATAAATAAGGAGATAAAATAAAACAATAAGTAAGGACAGTTAATCTTAGTACTTAAATACAACCTTTGAGATTTTCCACGAAAATTGACAAATGAAATAAATGAACAACATACTGGAAAGTGGCAAGTTTTGTAACAGTAGTCATTTTAAATGAATGCTACATTTGGTATAGTAGTATTTAATAATACTAGCATGTAGTTTCAGCTCAAATTCATGTCACTACTTGTTACATAGCTATACAAGGTCCACTAAACATTGAAATACCGAGAAAGCAACACTGAATCATGTCCACTAGCTTCCTGTACCGTGCATTGAGAGCGCCAATCGAGGTTACACTTATTGTAATGTCCAGTTTCACAGCGCTCATAAGGCGCAAAATTGTTGCTATGGACAATCCATGGAATTGGGACTGGGAGGACCCCCCATTACGCTGTACGGGGGGCTGTGGGGAGGCAGCGACATCGGCCCGTGGTACATGTCCATCTCTAGCGAGGCATCCGGCGAACACTTCTCCGCCATTTTGTTTTCCTGCTTCGTCACCATTCGCCGCCATTTCGCGCGGGCGTTCTGGAACCACACCTGCGAACAAAAAACACACGGTTGGTGTCGGCCGAGAGGAATAATGCGAGCGGGCCGCATTGAAATGTCGCGAGCAAAATGAAAAGTCGATTCGCCATAAAAAGAATACAAGTCGCGAAGCGAGAGCGATTCAAAAAGAAAAACGAAGCGCCCGCTTTAAAGTCTTCGAATGTTCCTCGATGATACTTCGACGTTATTCGAAGTACCTTATTAGCTTCAGCCCGATCACGGGCCCCCTTGACGCGGAAGTTTAGTCTTCTTTTTCCTCTATGTATCTTCGGTGGAACCTTTTGGAAGGTTTTATGTATTATCTGTAATTAAAAAATTTGACGGAAACAAGACGGCGCCGCCATTGGTGGTGGCCAGCGGTCAAATCTCTGGGTGACCGTAAGCATCACAGTGACGATGCATACACAACATATCCTCGCCGTGTTTACCGTCATTGTGATTACACGCTTGCGTGTATAGCAAGTGAAAATGTGATTTTTTTGGGGCGTTCCATGAATGGAATTTAAAGGACACTAATTATTTTATGTGCGTTTTCGTAAAAATTATCGCCATATACATAATATTGCGATAATTTTAATATAAAGTCGCATTTAGGTTGTTCCCTCAACTAATGCGTTAATTTTCTACACGATAATTTAGTTATAGATTTTGAGAAGCTACAAAAATGTGGATGGCACAAGTCTTGCCGGCACCGACGAGGATGTTGTAAGTCAAAAGTCAAAGTAAGGTGTTCTCCACGTCAGCAATAAGCTTCAATATCCGTCAAAGAGAAACTGAGGTCTAGGAGAGAACTGTGCTGTGATAGCTTCCCGTGCTATAATTACGCGAACATTCGACGTGTAACGTTCTGTGCGCACAAATACCATGGCCAATGACGCGCAGCGGTATTATAGCTCCGCCCCGCGCGGCATGGCCGCTACGGATGCTGCCTAATGCCAAATTTAGATTAGTGTTCATTTCGTGCACCTACGTCAGTAATGCGGGGCGTGAAGAATTAATTTGGATTAAAATAAAGACCTAGTTTTGTCGGTTGACGATCTTCACTACTATCTCCAATTTTCCTTTTTCAATCATAGCTATGGTTGATTAGAATGGAAAGTTTTTAAATTCCTTACATTTAAAAGTCCACTGGGATAATCGTTTAGACTACACAGGAGCTATAGTCTTACTTTCGTGTAACATGATGCCAATTAGGTTACGCTAATTAAGAAAGAGCGCGTCAATCACATAACTCTAAGTCGGGCAAACAAAGGCGACTTAAGATTGTTTTCAGACCTGAGTTTATAAATCCAACTTGACTTTTTTATTCTTATTAATTAAAGAACGGACTATCGCTTTTCGCGCCTTAAGTTTTCTAATTGGAGAACGCAGCACGCCTCCGTCAGCGCCCACGTGAATCCATCATAAGCGGGGTATCGACGCGATACCGTCTCAGGGCGGATGAGAAATGGGCGAAAAGCGCCGGGGGCGACATGCGAGCAGGATTGATGGTGCCACGTCCACGCTCTCCGTCGCCGGACAGATAAGCCAAGGTGGTCTCGACAAAACAAATATGCCCCGTAAATAGACCGCCTCGAATTTTGACCTCGACCGCGATGCTGACGACACGCGACCTCTGCGCAACATGAACCGCTTAATGTGCTGTATTTCGTTTCTCCCTTACTGTCCCAAACGTTATTAGTGGGCCGTGACAATATTTTTCCCCGATAAAGTTACTTACGTAAGTTTAATCCCGTGTGAATCACGAAATCTGTGTAAACTTGTTTTGTCGTGTTATTAATATGCTTCATATAGTAAAATAGGCACTTTGACCATCGGTAACATTAAAACTTTGTTTAAAAATCATACATAATAAAAAAAGTGATGAATTATACTAATCCAAACAACAAACTACATTTCAATCGCATTTCGAACTAAATTTCCAAACCCAGAATTTTACTTTAATTAACAAGACCGTGTTTCGACTAAAGTACATATATTATTATTTCACAGGTTGATGGTAAAAGTAATTTTATATTCACGAAAACTTCACCGCTGATAAAATAAAGTAAACGAAAGTTTTAAGTCCTTGAATTTCTTTAATGACTTATCATCGTAAAAAATCAAGACACAGATATAATAAAACAACGAGGATCCATCAAACGCTCGTTGGGCCATAAACTCTGCTATTATTATAACCAACTGAAATAAGTTCGCGCGTCTTGCCGCTAGACAAGCCATTTGTTAACCGTTAGAGGCAACGTGACGTTTGAAAATAACATCTTCCATCGAATAACATGTCTCAATTTTGCTGGCAACTATTAAATAGTATTGTGCCGGTAGCAAATTTGTGTCTCTGTAACCAATGACTTCCAATGTTACTACAATTTTACTTCAAGCACGTAATCGTGAGCTGTTCTCAATATACATGAAACGGTTCAAATCGTCTGAAGCTAATGGATCCGATTTATTAAACCATCAGATTTATATAGTATTTTGTTGTTAATTTTCGTTTTTAATGTGAGCAGATATGAATAAGCTTATCTCTAATATGAACCAGTTTCGGTATTCTGTTCGGTCATTTACCCTTTCATGTTATTGTTATTTCCATTTTAACGAATTTCAGCTCGTTTCTGTGTCATGATTTGTTGATTTTTAATTAGGATATAGTAGAGAGAAAAAAGAAATCTTGTTCGAAAATTATTTTTCTTGTATTTCATTTCATTTCATTTTTAATTGACGCTATCATTTGTGCAAACAGAAAGTTCATTTATTCCTTGAAAGTCATTTCCTTTGTTAATAAATACATATACAAAAGCATAAATATTTTACGGTGGTGGGGCCACGCAACACTGTTGTACGAATGGGCAGATCCGTCCGGGTAAGTACGACGACTTCACAGAAGGCCAGCGTAGAGTAGAATTGTTACACTTCTGCGTTTCGTCTGGTGAGTGAGATAACCCGGGCCCACTTTATTTAAAGGTGGTAACGCATTTGCAGCCCTATGGGTGTTTCGAATGTCCATGTACCCCGTTAGAAAAGATGTACAGATTAAAATAATTGTTGTACACATATGACCTACGTAGTATGCGAGACTTAATCGAGTGATAGTACTATTCATCAAACAAGCATGATATAAATCAGAGTTTTGCTCATCGACTGACTTTGAATAACTATTACATGTCGTTCGCGTATAGAATCACATACGTCTGGCAAGTAGCATGTTTTAAAGAGATTATGAAACAAGGTGGCGGAAATCTCTGATAAAAATTTGTAGTTCTGTATTTGAATATAACGGATATTTTTTTTTATTTTCTCACGATACTAGTACTTACAATAGTACGATTCTCCGAGTGGAAATTGGTTTTGATTACACGATAAACTCAAATCACAGTTTTGTCATGCTTAAAATCAATGCAACAGAAGCCATACAATATTAAATCAGTACGAAGCCATACAATCCAAATAAGACAGAACAAACGAATTAATCTGGGCAAATCATTAATATACGAGTGTAAAATAAGTGTGAGCAATTTACGCCCTCACTGCTATCAGACGTTGAATGCTTGAGTAGCGGCCAATTAAAAACTCCCCCCCAAAGTCGAGAATAAACGGGAACTGCTGAGAATAATGACGAGAAAACCGCACTATGATTATTACTGATCAAGTATATTTGCGGATTTCTTCAAACGAATGTTTCACTTCATATCTTGAAAGTTTCTTTATCTGTTTCTTGTTTATCCCATTTTTCACTCATTTTAATCATATCACTAATTTAGAGTAATAATTCTATGACATGGTCGGTATAAAAAATCAAAGTTACAATATTATTACTATTTTAGAGATTAGTTTTTTCTATACCAATTAATTCCATTAAATATTTTGAAACAACTTTCTTTTTAAAATAGTACATCAAGAGATCAAAAACTGTTATGTACATCGCTACATGAAGTAGATCCTCCGTAGATATTTTAACAGCTTTTCCGTTGTTAACATAAAGATGTAACATAATGAACAATTCGATTATAATCTTTCAAATCACATCTATTTTGAGGTGAAAGTGGTTTTAAATTGGATTTCAAAATAATTTCACTAAACGTGAAGCACTCGGACAAAGAAACTCGTAAGGAGACCTTAATAAATGTCCAAACAGTCACCACGATCATAGACACTCAAATATTCCGTGTATTGTAAATAAAAACTGTAGAGGTGTGATTAATAGTCGCGTTTCCTTATATAAATAATATTTGAATAAATTAGGAGGTAGACGCGGCACGTCCGCCTGGCGCGAGTGCGCGCGACCGAATGACAAATGGATGCCTTTTGAAATCGCGGCGGAAATTATCTGCCCAACCGAGCGTCTCACGGCGATGCGTTGGTACTAATTACTAGAGCGTTTGATTGTGATCTCCAAGCGTCTCTGCAACCAGATTTGAGCTCTAAACTAAACCCTTTAAACGCAATTTCAAACGATTACTTACGTTTATTATTGTCACCGAATGTACTTAGAAAGTAAAATTATATCGGGCCAAATGTCGAGGTGTGACCATCCGATACTAATTGCTGGTTTCGGGACGCCCTCAAGATTTCTCGAGTTATTTGAGTGCCATGCGGGCATCTTTATTGTGTTTAAGATCATGGCATGAAAACGATTTCGAAAATAGTGACTGAATGCGTAACATTGCATGATTTTGACTTTTGGCTCAATTTATTTTGCCACAGATATATCGTTGATGGTATGTAGACGATATAATGGATTTTCATCAAAATAATTCTACCACAAGGTTATTGTTATAGGTACCGGATTAAACATGTTTCTTTTTTGCAGTCTCGATGGTGGCGGTACTAGCGGATTTGTTTAATTCATTGGAGAATTTCAACGAAATGGAGAGTGCGATAAAAATATAATGTGACATTTAAGCGACGTGACGGTGTAAGTAAAAGTGACATGGTATCGATTGATCGTGGGACGCGTCCTTATAAGGAAAGGCGCTCTCCGATGGGCTGGCTAATTACGCAGCGCTACTTGAACCCGAGTCATTTTTCAGGAGTGACGAGGAAAAAGGGGGGAAAAAAACAAGCGGGCCGAGTGACAAATCACGCAATTGCGGGCGCACGGAGAGAAATATGGCGCTGTTTGTTCTAAATGCGCCCGCGCCGGGGCACGGCGACGTCGAGCCACATATATTACGAAGGCGCCCCAAGCAATTAGACACACGCTCTCTCCAAACCAACTTGCACACTTGCACCTGTTTTTATATTTTTACGCGCAACTAGCTTGAATTCAATTGCTCTTAATCTTGAAATCGAGCAAACAATGATTGACCGCAGCGATCGCTAATTGTATAAGCTTCGCTGGAATAGTGCTTCGACCACCTTCGAACTATCTTGGTAAATAAATCAAAGCTTAGCTTCAAAAGTAACGCTCGTTTAAAATGGAAATAACACCACTATTAATAGTAACTTCTTTTACATTTTATTTAGACTTTCTAGAAGTTCGTTTGTATTTTCTTTAACTTGACACCGATCACAAATAGCTGTGTATCTCATGAGTAATTCATAATAAAAATAACTGATAATTTTCTATCATGTACTAGAATTCATTTTAAATGAGTGTGGCAAAAATAAAACGCTGTGAATAAATATTATCAAGATAAGAAAAATATAGAGTGATCATCAATCGCTACATAAATTAATCCTATTAATAAAACTAAATCCCATGTTTAATTCATCATTTACATTCTATCTTCATATACTTGGATAAAGTGGTATATTTACCACCAAACCTAATCTCTCAATATAGAGTACGATTACTGGGACTACTGCAGTTATTAAGAGAAACCCATATAAATATATGTTTAGTATTCCTTTCTCTATAGGTCTAGCACTCCTAATACCACATTAAGTGATAATTTTCATTTCTCACTTATACTCGATAAGAGCTTGTTCGTACGACATTTTACCCGAGTTCCCGCAACATTATTGCGAAATTTTCTTGAAAATAATTACGCTTACATTTTTCAATATTCCAGAACGAACGAATCGGTTGAAATAAAACGCACCCGGCACCGTTTATCTCACCACTGTCCGATTCTATCTATAAAAAAAAAGAACTCACCTCTTAACATTTCTCCACAGGAGCGTACAACCAAAAGTCGGTATATACAAAACGAAAAAGCCCTTATCTCGGCAAAATGGCGACGGCAGGCCGTTGTGGGGTTTTTTCCAAAAAAATCCCGATCAATATTCGGAGTTACGGAGGGAGAGGTCTCTCCTTGCTTTCGTATAATTGGTCGGAGGGAAATTTATGCGGCGCTCGCTATCTGGCTCGGGTCAGCTCGGCTTGGCTCGGTATGTCGATAACTGGTAAGGGGACGCTATGCCTACTGTTCTTATGTCCCAAAGACGACAACCCTATATACGAGCGTAAGCTTTGTAGGTATATTTCTTAACGAGGGCTGTGCAAAACTTTAAGAGCCTTCCTCTATTGTGCTCATGAATTATTATTTACGTCCCCCTCACACAGTTGATTATACAATTGCTTTGTTTGGTCTTCAATCAATAATATAAAACTATACGATTGATACGAATATCCAATTGGTATTTTTATGCTGTTATCATTTTAAGAAATCAGTGAAGAGCGATATTCGAACGCGAAGATTGAAATAAGTTCCGTTCTACTATTCACATTTACATTAGAAGCAAAGCGGCCTATCAAAAACCGTGTAATCACGGAAACAAAGGCTTGCTCTTTGAAGGCGCCGTGCGGGATCCACATTAAAGGGCCGCTTTGGGTAAACAAATTAAAAGCAATATGGGGCGCTAAACGGCAAAGATGCGCCGCGGTGTGTCCAATCTGTTAGTACTTCCGAGGTCGGTGGCAATGGTAGTGCAGATGGGAGAGCGGCCGTTTCGAGTTGTTTGTTCCAGTGCCGACGCCCCAACTAAATGAACATCCTACCGACGGGAAAAAAGTATTCGTCCATTAGAAAATCGATACAACCTCAATGAGTCATTATAAATCACTTATTTCATTGCATTTATTGGAATAATTCAAAGTGAGTTTGCGCGTAAGGTATACTTTCAGTGTTTTATTGATACGAGGCAGCCGATGATTCTGCCGTTATACGACAAGCTACGCGTGAAACAATTATTTATGCACGAGAGAAATATGAAGTATTAGCATCCGACATTGTGAATCAAACTCGTGACCCTAGGTCTCGGAGTATCAATTAGAATAAATTGATAAACAGTTCTTACTTCATTTTTATCTCATATTTATTAATCACATAGTTTTTTTTTTCTATTTGATGACATATAACAAATTTCTGCTACTAAAATTGGCATTCATTTGATTGTTATTATTTTGATTTTTTAATTATAACAAATGAGATACTGTAGCATTTTGTGTTTCCGACCATGCGTCACATAGTTCTAATAATATTACAAATTACAAACATGTTAAAAATATATAAAATTTTATTAGTTCTTCAACAGCTACCAAAGTATGATAAGTAAAAAAAATAATTACCGAACACATTGTCACTTACACCCGACTTTCAGTTTCACAGCTCGGATCCTTTTGCAGTCTAGTTAGTAAATAAACCTGATATTGACAGCTTTTCACTTACCGCATATCCTTAATGTCCGAAGATTTTACAGACACAGTAACCGCTCGGCAAGTTTTCGTTATAATTCATAACGAAACGTACGCTGCATTTCCAACTGCAACTTGTTAGTGATAAAGACACTAATAAAAAAGTGGTCATGACGCATTCAACTTATACTGCTATTTTTATTGACAAAAAACATTCGCATGGCGGGAACTTCGATAAGCACGCTCGTAACAAAGCGAAGCGACATTATTGGTACATTAAAATCGCATTAGCTTCCGAGTAATTCTGTGTTTCGAAAGAAAACCACTGACTTCTCCGTCTTAAACACAACTCTAATTAATCTTCAATGACTTATTGAAATTTTATATCGTTTCCAAAACCATTAAAGGTAAGTTAAGGTGAGTTAGGTAAACCATAAACACATAAGTTTGAATCGGAGTCATTGAAAATCGTAGAGACTGTATTTAATAGCATAGTTAGAACAAAGGCTATTTGTATGTTACCTGCAAAACTCTCTTAGGTAGACCTGTTTTCTGGCTGAGTTGTTTCAGGTCCTTCGCGTCGGGGTTGTGGTTGATCGCGAAATAGGACTTCATGGTACGGAGCTGGTGGTGCTTGAAGCTGGTGCGCATGCGCTTGGTGCGGGACGTGGTGCCGAGCCCTCCGCCACCCCGGAACCCCATCTCCAAATAATCCGCATTCAGATCTGATACGAGAAGACAACGGTCACGCTGCTCAATGTAACACAATTAAATTGTTAGACGTTAATGGTATGTTTAAACGCCTCCAATTAAACATAAAATAATCAGTATTAAATACGCTCCGTGATTATCATCGTGTTGCATTGTGGCCTATCATGGCTTAATCCATGTTGATGGCAAAACAATTCGTAGGCCCACTGAAGATAAACAACGAACAAGCACGCATACCTATGAAATTGCGAACATCAGACGTGGAGGCCTCTCAATTGCGACATTCCGCAATACAACTTTATAAAGCCGTTATAAACATGTTACAATGTAAAACACTTACAATGTGTCTTTATTATACCTACGGGTCCAAACGCATGTTGCAAGTCCTATTGGGCCGTCGGATAAGGCGTATTTAAGACCATCTCCCGCCTCTAAAACACACTACTGATAAATGTCGAAGAACTGTAAAACAATTCGTTTCGTATACAAAACAAATGAACGCAGCGCGCACAGACATGAAGCATCATCGTATGAATGAATAAATTCAATTCGCATTCGCTAATTCGCACACACAAAAATTAAAATAATCATATCCTGGTATAACATACACATTTTGCCGCTACCAAACTGATCGCCAATTACCCTTAACAAGGACTTAATTTGCGTAATTTTGGAAATTGGATGATAATTCCATGATTTAAATGTGTAATACACGATTATTTTAATCTTAATTATTCGCGTTTACGGTCGTTTAGTTACAAAAAAAAAGTTAAATTGAAAACATACGTTTGAAAGCTTCCTTGCTTAGTGTTTGAGTGTTATTCTTTAACACTTTTGGTAAGGAAAAGTTATTATTAAAATTAGACTGATTCGTGGAACTGAAATATACTGAGCCATGTCATAGCTTAGCTATGACTTACTTTTATTTATGTATATGTAGCTTTAAGTATATTGTATTTTACATTTTACACATATTTTGGAGTCTACCTTTACCGTTGTTCTAAATTTTTGTAAAGCTTACGATAGTGAAACTGAGCGAGTGAAGTAAAGAAATGTTGAAATAAAAAAATGCATTCACCGTTACAATCCTTTTTTTTAAATTATATAATAAACAAAGATATTAACGGAGAATGCAATATTAAAATAAATACTGAACAAGAGGTCCGATTGAGACAGGTAGAGACGCACGCCTACTGACTACAAAAATAAGTTAAGTTCTTATAACTTTCCTGTATCAGAGACTACTAAAGTCATTTCAGTATAAGTAAATATGTGAATAAAGAAGAAGTTTATTTCAAGTTACTACGGTGAATCTTGACTTTATTGTTTGAGTTCTCCATCAGAAATCGCCAGTTATTACAAAGAGAACAGTTTCTCAACGAAGATAGCTGAGAAGACCTTTTTACTACTGGGAATAAAGCTTTTTCTAAATTTTAACTTAAATAAAGCCTTTTCTAAATTTTAAATAAAGCTTTTTCTAATTAAATTTTTTGTTTAAAGCCTTTTCATTAACCACACATGCACATACATGTCACGGCATGTAGCATATTATTGAAATCATTCTCTTGCACACTTCTGAGTTTAGAATTATTTAAAATTCTTAGTGCGCACCAACCTAATGAATTATAACTAATGTACCTAATGACCCAACAATATCATGTTTTACCGATATTAATTCCAAGCTCAATATAAAATGAGTCCATTTTTTAATAACTCACTATTCTCGTTTGGTTTCAGTCCAATGTAAACATCTTGAAGGAAGAAAGATACTCCATAAATACGCCCAAACGTATTTCTGTAGTTTCTTTCTTCCTTCACTGAACTTATTTCCTTCGCAAATCGGTGGTGGCGTGCGGCTCATTGTTTTCTGTTACGATTTCTCCACGTCACCGTGACGTATCCGTGACGGGAAAGGCCGGCTGCCGCCGCGAGATTTTAACGACCAATAAAGATTGATGCCAATAAATATCCCGAAACATTGAGGGTTGAACATGCGATGGTTTGAAGATAGCTTTAAGCGAAGAAAATCCTAAATAGATTCATAATAAAGATGACTTATTACAAGATAAATTAAAATATGAAAATTTCTAAAAAAAGCAATGGCGACATTTCTCATTCGAATTATCGTTGTAAAACGATATCCGAAATTGTTTGTATGCTGGAAAGGATATAACAATAGATGGCGCCAAGCATTGCTTCAAATGCTAAGAAAACAATGTAGAAGAATACGTTAAGATTTTCGTCGGTGTGGCAATCAGCCGTTTAGCTCAGTGGCTAGAGCGTCAGGCTGCGAATGCCGAAGACGTGGGTTCGATTCCCACAGCGGCGACAATCTTACATACATATTTTACAATCGTACATATTTTAATATGAGTTTAATAGATAATTTGGCGGAAAGTTAGCGCACCGCGCGGACAGCGAGCGCTTAGGTCAGTTGGTTAGCGTCTACGAAGCACAAGATGCAGGTTCGAGTTCTGGCAGCGGCGAATATTTTTCCACAATCTATCCATTAAACTCAAACCTTAAACAAAAAAATAATTACAAATATGATAAAATTTTAATTTATCGAAACCTTTTTGTACACATTGTACAATACTATAATATCAAAATTTACGTACAATCTGGTCCTTCCGTTAAAATTTAAATGAATCAGTAACTCATATAACATCCGTTTTTAATATTTTCAATAAAGATTAGCGTAAATTAATATAAATGGTATTTACGTTCTATTTTTGGATTGTCCAAACGTATGCCTACATGATAAAATTAGAGATAATTTACTTTATTTAAGACATTAAGGTATTTTCATCATACATAAAATATTTTCAAGATCACGACATTTGTACTATTACTTCCAATATATTTTCTAAATCTTAAGCAAAATACATTGAACTTGACACAGCTATTAACATTTGAAGTTAAAGTTTGTTAAGTAATTTATTATTATCATGATATCAAATGATTGAGATATCGAACCTAATAATATTAAAAGCAAGCTTTTAAAAAATGAAAACAAAAAAAGTTTCAAAAGTTAAAAAAAGTGTTAATTAGTTGGGGCACATTATTGCTTTAACAATCGGAGAATCACTAGTTTATTGGAATCAAAATATTAGCGGCTGACGGGGCGACACATTCGCGTCGAACGCGAACAATCATTCCCGCAGTTAATTGCCCACGCGGGTCCGTTGGGGCACTTCACCCGTCGCGTAATGGCCGCCGCGTTCGATTCGCACTAAATGCGACCGCTTTTGAGCCGACCGCACCGACCCGTGTTTACCTTTCCGGCCGAGCCGCCGAACGGTTACTTTCGTGTCGACTTCGCCGAACGCCGCAGTATAGCGCTCGAAGCATTCGAAACGACCGCGTATTGACGCAAGCTATCTCGATTTTTATGCTCGAAACCGAAGGAGGCCGTGAATGTGCGCATTGGAAAAGCTCGCTAGCGAATACGCGCGAGTAACCGTGTCCGTTTAATATTGATGTTCGTACGTAACATCGACATGTTTCCCGGTTGACGTTTCCGATAGCGTTTGTGCATTTTCTGAATGTTCTGTTTCGCTAGCACCTATTTACACATCATTTGTGTGAGCAACAACAGTGACAGTAAATTATTAGTTAAATCGCAAAGAATATGATAGATACGTCGATGGGCTCTTTGAAGTTTATTGTACCGAACAAATAAAGGTAGTGTCACACAAATTGCAGTTACGATCTGCCGCGTTGACGGAACGCTTGTGTTTACTCGACATGATTTATGCACCCTCTGGAAACAATAAAGCTAGTGCGAAAGTACGAAGAGCCGTCTTAATAGTTGCATATCCCCGCACTGGCCGGTTCAGGGAAGTAGAAGGGAGGTGAGGAAGTTCTCGTTAAGCTGGTGGTCAGTGACCTGCTGCAGGCACTCGTGCATCCTCTAGATGCTTGATACGGTCTCGCCGCAGACATGGAAATATTTGCCGAGCGGTGAAATTTCATGTTCCCCATCGTATTCAACACCTCGGATTTAGATATCAGAAAGCATCGTTTCTACACGTCTTCGACATACTTTTTATCGTATTACGTACCGTTGTCACATTTATTACTTGATCATTTCCGAAAACGCTCGCCCGTCGGACAATAATTATCGATAAAGTACGAAACGTCACCGCCGACGAAGAAGACGTTATTAATAGATTGAGGCACAAAATGTACGTAGATAACGTCGCCGTTGCCGTAAAAAAGTCGTGTAAAAAGTGGGTGCGTTATAAAAAGATCATTGTGATCTCATAAATTGTACGCACCATTCATGTTTGGAGACGGGCAAAAAGTTTAGATTTCCTACGCGATACCGCCTCGTCCGCTGCCGGTGGCTTTTTTTCCACGAGCAGTGCGCATTTTCGTTGCCATGGATGACAGTGCAAAATAATTCGCTCTATGATCCGAAATAATAAAAAAAGAGACATTGACTTTTACAGACACCATAAACAACTCAATAGGTTTTTATGTAATAAAACGAATTTCCTGAGTGTCATCGTCGCGCGGATCAAATAAAAATATTAATTTAGACGCCGTATGTGTAGTGTCATGTAACCTGCCAGCAGGGGGCGCTACCGGTGACTCTAACTCATACCACGGTATAGCGGCGCGCGGAGTTGACCGCCGCTCGTATTTCAACTGTTATTATCGCTTAAAACTGTGGAGTTATACAGCGTCGATAGATATAAAAAATAGCTCTGTAAGTTAATCTTCCAATTTTATTTTTAAGTTTTAAAGACGCTCAATACAAATCGCTCGATGACAAATCATAGTTCTGAAACGAATTGAATTCTTTATAATAATAATATTATTATTTTGGTTTATACATGTTGTATATCTCGAAATATTTAAGATATTTCGGTATGATCAAGATCACGGGCCTAAGCCAAGTGAGCTTCATCTTATGTTTCGGGTGGATTATTCAAGTCTTCCTGTAAAAATTTGCGTACAATTCGGCATGTGTTTAGAATTACTGCTTTTTGCATGGTTATGTAGGTGT